GAAGTTTATGTTGGAAGAAAATGTCATGGTTGTACGTGGGTTGAGATACTGCCAGGGCGCCCAGACCTAGACAGGACGATTAGGGTCCTCATCCAAAGCCTTTGGCTCAAAAGACTGTCCGCAAGGCAGCGGGAAGGTGGCAATGATTTAGTTTTACAGAAATGGACGCCATCCCATTTCAAACCCCCAACCTGGAGGACCAGGAGACTGAGTTTGTCTGACTTCTCACCATTGACCAACCTGGTAGGAGTAGCTCTCAAGGTGCCCGGAGGCATCGCCCAGTATATATATATATATATATATATATATATATATATATATATATATATATATATATATATGTTTATTTACATATAGTGCCCTATGCTGGGGCTCATGTTGCATTCATGATGCTTCTTCACTGCAGTTGGGCTAAACCACCTTACACTTAAACTAGGTCTTTTTAAGCTGAATACATTTCATTCCACTTTATTTGGTTTGTTCTGCCTACCTGAATAATCTAATTAACTGGCCACATTGCTCATACTAATTGTGATTATTTTCGCTAACTTTATTGTGTGTAACATTTTCTGAATAACTTGTGGACATTTTGTACTTTTCGCGGATTCGTTGCCAACCAACTTACATTATGTTAATTTAGCGAAGAGTTATGTCTGCATAGTCGGATGCTTTAACAGTTATATTTTATTTAATAAGGTTATTTCAAATGATTGGCTGTTGTTCGACGTGACCGGTGTGGCTGCACTTGATGCGCATGTTGACAAGGTGTCTACCTGTCTATTACCCACTGCCTCGTCCATACTGGCTCCAGGAGACAGTTGGTCGTTGCTGGAGGAGACAGGGTGCATGGTCCTTGTGGTCGTGCTAGGCACGAAGAGTGGTTCCATGCACTCAGTGTGGAGCGGACTACGGTCCAACCACCGCCTTGTGTGCGATTGATTCCCAAATACAGGGTGCTTGTGTTTACTTGTGAAGGAGTGTGGGCCGGCTCCGTTGATGAAACCTAACTCCCACCCGCATACCTCCCGGTCTTATTCCTTCGGGTTTACACTGGATATGAGGTGTGTGGATGGAGCTTTGGATGGTGCAGCGCAAGCCACCCAAGGTCCCTCTGTAGGCATAAGCGTCCTGTGGCTAGCCAGTGACAGGTAAATCCGAAACCGGATGCCGTTAACTATATGAGGCCGCGCAACTGTCCGAAATGCATTCATTAGACTGAGATACCTATGGTGTCACCGCAATGTCGGTCTGAAGCTCAAGGGCAAGGTGCACATTGCTTAGTTCATGCGGCCTTCATGTACGGCTGAGACCTGACCTTTTCGCTCGCAAAACATAAAACGATTATCAGTTTTTGAATATCATTGTCTGTGCAGGGCTTTTGGCGTGTGGTAGAAAAATCACGTAAGCAATCCATAAATCTGAGACCGAGTGTTTGGAGCAAATATCCCATGCGTACAAAATTGTTCTCTGATACCGCATGCATTGGCTCAGCCGCGTATTTCGCATGCCAGCCTATCGCCTACCCCATCCAGCGTTATTTGCGCTCCGCGGAAGCGATTGGAAAAAGCGCCGCGGTGAGATACTAATGACGTGGAGGAGCATGATAAAGACCTCAGGCTAAGCATCTGTCGAAGCGGATGGGGATCACGTGACTCGGACTGCCAGTGATTAGAAACGCTGGTTATGGCGCGCAACAGACATCAATCGCGACAGCTTGGTTCAACCGCATTATTTGTTAATGTCTAATCGAACGTATATATACAAAAAACCAAAATAAAAAAGCGCAAAACGGCATGTGCAAAACCTAAGAAATTTTGACTACTCTACGCTACTGCACGCCACTCAACTACGCATTAAAGATGTCACCTCGAATGGTGACGAAACGTTTGCAAAACAAATGTCAAGCTCAGCGAACAGTTTAACCGCCACCAAGGAATTGTTTTCGACTGTTGTAGTTCGTTTTTCCGTTTTTTGCCATGGTGGTAACTGGCACCTAGAGATGAGGCGTATGCAATGTCACTTACGAAATTGATAAGTTGCAGAAAGATGGTACGGTTTAGCGCACCCGAAAACGATCTTTAAGAAAAGTGGGATTCAGAACAACTTCGGGAAATGCTTTGAAAACAAGTGACGCAAATGTCAGTATATATAGTATGCGTCCGGTCGTGGGTTCCGTGTACTTGCGTGTCTAGGGCTTGCGGGGGTCGTAATAGATCGAGGGGGTTTAAATACAGAACAGACAATTCGTAGGCGGCTGGAGAATTTATTCATAACCACCTATTAAAAGCCGGATGCAGGGTGTGCAGGATTTACACCACGTGGCGAGCTGGACAGCGGAGGATCGAGCATGGGGTGACTGGATGGATGAGGTGAAAACGCACAGGCGATGGTTACTACAACGACACCGAAGACGAAATTGGAAACCAAAGAAAAGAGGAAATGACAATGGCATTCTAAGATAAACACGACATCTTATCTGTTGACTTGCTATAGACATTGGCGCGTTATATTATCTCTTGACGTGTCGTTGGCAGCGCCTACAGAGACTCAGACGTGGGTCAATCTGCTGATGCACAGAAAGACTGGTGAGTGTTGTGATAGGCCCGTACGATTCCTCGTGGTCGTTGTAACGACTGCAGTTCTGCTTTAGAGGGTGATCTTAAGAGCTGACAGTCTCCAAACATTTAGTAGGCGTCCGGTAGAGGGCTTCAGTGTCCAGCTATCGATAGAGGGCCGAGCCTGAAGTGATTGGATGAATGACCTGAAAACGCGCGGGGAACGGCTGCTCCAGCCACATCGAACAGGAAATGGAAACTCAAAACGGTAATAACAATCGTATAACCTGCAGTGTTTCTGGTAGGTGATAAGACCTAGTGGATCAGGAGCGAAGTCAGTGAGAACGCGGAACAAGTCACCCGTATGTATCGACACCGGATTCAGGAATATTCCACGAGAGTGACAAGTTCAAGTGGGACAGAAACGACAGGAGAACTCCCCAAGTGTTTCATCTTGAGTGGATCGTTGAATCAGGAATTGATGAAGTGCTCAGAGTTATTGATGGATCTAAAACGGAACACCCGTATCGCGCCCTGGCCAACCAGTAAAAATTCAAGCAGAATTGGAACGGATCAGTTAATGTCCACGTTTCTTGCCCTAGCCGTCCATGCTGTGGCAGTTACGTGAATCAAGCAAAGATAAGAAGAGAAATCGAAATTACAGAATCAGGAAGTATACATAATAAAAAATAATACCAGTGAATGAAGAAAAGAACATAGAAGTATGAATATGAGAAATCGATGAAGCTGAAAAGCAGAGCAGACAACTCGTAGGTAGTGGGATGGAATTATGACAAACACCCAATAAGAGAGTGGGAGCCGGCCAGTGTATTGGATCATTGGAATGTAGAGAGCAGAAGGAAAAATCCTTTGTCAGCTCCATCGCCCCCCGTTCGTCACAGGGATCAAGGTGGACATTGCAAGTCGGTACCGATGGAACCGCTGCGTTGACACAAGTAGCAACAAAATCCGAGTTTACTTAACAGGTAAGAATCCAATCGATCTTTGAAACCTTCCTCTGACTGCGCATCAACGACATACACAGGAAGATTGTACAGTTCGTTCACTACTCTGGTAGACAGTGGTCACAACGGACCCGAAGTCTCCTTTATTTGAATAATTTCAATGGTGACCCCGAGTACAACTGAAAGAATTAGAACATTATATCTAGTGGGAATAAAAGCCCGAGCTTTACATGATCCATAGGGTAAAAAGAGCGGGTCGGGTCTAATGAAAGGCCAAGCAACCTTATAGCGAGTTGGACACGCGTGTTAGCCGTATCTTCATCGGGCTTATGCAGCATTTAAACAGAATGCACGCCGGCTCAAAGCGTGACATCCCATCACCCCTCTCCGGAACGGCTATGGAAAGGAAGTAGGTAGAAGAGAAAAAAGGAAAGAAACTCCAAGTAGTAGTTATATCAAGGAATATCGTGGTTACTCGGCCAGATGACAGTCCAAGCGGATGTTAAAATCCGTCACAGTGGGTGCCAAGACTAAATCGGCAGGCAGAGCATTCCACGGTCGGCAGATTCGCAAAGCGAAGTAGTGCCATCTGCAGTTCAGCCGACTGTGCTGATGTGTGAGCCTCAGTGGATGGCCACGTAGGTGAAAGCACGATTGGTGCAGTGTGAGTAGGTGGCGACAGGCATGTCAGGGTTGGATAAGATCATAAATACAAGAATCAGATCGCCCCGTAGACAAAAGTACTTAAGCGGAAAAATTCTGCAGTTCAGTCCCAAGTTCTCCTCTAACGATACGCCGGGTAAAAGTCAAATCCCCGCGATCTCGACGATAGGCTGGGGAGAACAAGTTCAGGCAGGTATCCTTACTCCATGATGGATTTAGATCCTCTCCGTAACAAATGAGACAGAGCGGCTAACAATACGCGCGAATTTGAATTAAAGATATTGCGTTGCAAGGTCAGGTCAGGTCAGGTCAAGTTCCAAGGACAAAGCAGGCTTCCGTCTAAGGAGCATTTAGCTTGTCGTACCGGAAAGCTCAGGTCGTGTCAAATCAGGTCAGGTACAACGGACGATAGAGGCTTTCGCAAACGAGCGTCTTGTTTCTTGTGCAGGTAAGTGAAGCGGCTCCCAGAACTTCAGTGTTGGGCTGATTCTTCTTGCTTCGGCAAAGGAACGAAGCAAGAACAAGAGCAATCTTTGCACTCTCATGTGTCGGCATCAGAATACACCACATATGTCAGTACACATATATCTGGGAAAAACTGTACATGAACAGCTGACGCACAAAAAGTCGACGTATAATAAAAGTTGACACTGTAACGATAGAAAAAAATCATAAAATTAAATAGAACTACTAAGTGGAGTAAACTGTAAATTACTCGATCAACACGCGTGGTTATTCACCAGCTGAAACCGTATAAATCAATTTCTCCACATGAACCTAGTAGGCGTTCATTATCCGTTCACAATTAGAGACTTACTTCAATACGTAAGTCTGATAAACATTTTGTTGAATATATGAATAGGTATGTGCACCCTACATCCTTGTGTCAATTACAGCTGTACCCAACAACTTAAGCAGTTATTCTTCCTTGACCTCAAGTTAGTCGGTTGGTTCCCGCAACAAGTAGTACGGCAGAAGTGACATGTAGCACACGAATGACTCAAAGCTTTACTACGGAAAAACAAGCGGGATTTGGACAGTGATTTTATCATACTTTTATGTAAAAGTCGATGTTTACGAAGGCAGATAATATTATTTACTTACATGGTTTAATTCTACTTTATGGACAAAACACCATCCAGTGACGGATTAAGTTTTCGCTTAAGCAGCATCCAGTTCCGTGTGCTGGTAGGCGAAGAAAGCTGCCAGCACTAATACATGATAACAGATTCATGCACATTACTAGAAGAAGAAAGAAGTAAGAGAAAATTAGCCATGTATTTACATAGGTTACCTGCACGGTCAAGTTGATGTGGGGCGGAAACGTTGGGATTATCCCATGTGTGGGTTCCTTCTGCAGCGGGTCGTTGAACCGGTGGTTAGTGGACTTTGAAGCACAGATGGACCTACGAATAAAGACCGCATCACACCCTGTCCAAACAATTATTGCCTACGTATCCTGCCCTAGCAATCCCGGCTTGGCCGTTTACGTGAAGCAAGAAAGAAAAGTATTAGACGTAGAGTGCAAGAAATAAACAGGTCGCATACCATGAAGCGGGTAATTGAAATCGGAGCTGAAAACTCGAGTTGTGTCAGATTAGAAAATGGAAGGTTTGGTGTCGCCACCCAAGGGCATCCAGCTGACTGTAAAACCCTTAACAGTAGCTTCCATACCCGTATGCTCTCGAAGCGAATTCCATCACTTTATAACGCGCCGTGCCAAATGAGTTGCCTTTCTAAGCAGACCGTGGTTTATGCAGCCACAATTTGTGCTCGTGGCGAATATGTAACTTAGCTGGACTGCCTTCTCTGGGAATTCAGGGGTGGAGCTTACCTGTCAAAATACGATGAGTGAGCCTCAAGTCCCCTCTTATACTACTTTATTACGTGGAGTACATCGTCAAACTAGGCAAGCTTTCAGCATACGTTTGTCTTCATAGACACAGCAATTAACTTGTACCTACTCGTCACATCCTCTCCAACTCCACTTTGTTTCGGACAAGCCTGGGTACAGCATTCCAAGCGGGACCGGACGAATGCCGAGGGTAAATCCATAAAATTATTGCTAGTTAGGACTCTGAATGAGCAGCGAACAATTTACATCATACAAAGTCCTGACAAACAGCCTTATTCCAACTGTCGCCAAAAGTTAGAGCTGATGCTTGGTCGGCCTCTAAATGAACATGCTGATTGATAACAGGCGTCTTGGTTGGGATGACTAGCGCGCTTATTCGGATAACAGAGCACTTTGCCCTGTTTATGGGCAGCAAAAGTAAGGAAGACCATTCCCAGAACTTATCCAATGCACATTGAAATGCCTTATTGCACTCCGGGATTTGCATAATATTTCAGAACTTAAGGTCACCAGTACACTTTAGTGAGGACACTCCTAGCTTTTCGGCATATCGTTTACATAGAAAGCGAACAACCATGGCCCCAATACCGCGCCTTGCGAGACACCAATATGGACAGGTTGCCTAAGAAAAAACCTACGCCCCACGCTTACCCATGTTTACCTCGTCGCCGGGAAAGCAGACACTCATCCAATCACGCGATCAGATTTCCACCAAGTTCACAAGTTTGGCGAGAGCCTAAGATGAGTAACCGCGTCAAGGTCTCGAAACATCCACTAATAGTACGTGTATACCATGACTACTCTCTATCAATTCCGCCCAACTTTCACGACCTGACAGTAGCTAGTCTGACACACAACACTGAGAATGTTAAATCTATTCTGGTGGTTCTCCACCAACCCCTTATCAGCTGTTCCCACAACGGAACTACTACGCGTGTCAAACTGACAGGCCAGTAGTTTGCGGGCAGTGCGTTGTCACCACCCTTAAAAGGGTGCAGATGATTGTTTCCTTCCATTCTCGTGGTATGACGCAGCTCTAAAGCGCTTGTTAAAACACACATGTGGTAGGACCATTTAGCTGAGTGGCAAATTTACGCAACTGCTTCGGGTGTGCAGAATCAAGACCAGAATCTGTACATGGATTAATGCCTTGCAATAGCTCAACGACCTGTGCCTCAGTTACTTTAAACTCAGCTAAGTTAGAATCCTTTGGCACGCTTGAAACTACTTCAACCTGTGGTAAAGCTGCCTCCCGAGCAAAGACCCCAGTATATGGTTCGCTGGTTATACGAGTCTCAGAGTACATTTACACAAAACCGGGTCTGCTTGTAATAAGGTTGGTATAGACAGTTTTGCCCCGCAGCTCCTTTTAACGTTAGCAAAAGCTGCTTGGGCCTAGCTGCGCCAGAGTAAGCTGCGTTCTACCCGTGTAAGATATGCGTAGACCTGAGATGTTGTTTACATCGCTTGCTAATCGCACGACAACTGTCGGTAGGAATTGATCGATGGGATTGCTTAGTAGGTTTGCCAGCATTTATACCGTTTCTTAATTAGGTGCGCGCCTGTTGGGTCTATCCATGGAGGCTATATAGCGGAGTCGTTCGGTCGCTAAATGGCAGGTTCGTCCCACCTCAAGCAAAAGTCGGAAAAAGACAGATATAGGGGCGATAGACGTTTATTTCCAAAACGCACAGTCCCGCTAGCTGAAGAAACTGGAAAAATGGTTCTAGCTTGGGGAACGGTATAGTCGCCGGCCAAGACGCAGCAAACGCTGTTAGAGGCGGAATGGCCAGAAGCGCGCGCATGCGATCCGTGTGGATGACCCAAACGCACCTAGTCATCCTGCGGATATGCAAGTATCCTAAGTTGCCTATGTGCAGAATGATGTTACCTTTTAATAATATTTTATACAGACAAACAGGACACTCTCCAGGTCGCTACAGCTGTACCCGTACCCTCTCTTCCTCATGAGTGAAATATAGGGAGTAGAAACCTCCGTAATCTATGCCTTCGATTTACCACTGGCTAAAGACGGGGCCGGCCAACGAGATCACACAGTTCAGAACTGAAGCCTTAGTTCGCATTGCACTAAAGCCCGCCGCCAGTTGCTCGGCATTAATTCAGAGGTGGCCTGCTGGCGCCTAGAAAAGGCACGGGAAGGGATATGCATGCGTGATCGCTGGATCCTAGAGGTGTACTGTAAGGAACGTCAGTTACGAAGTCGAGGGACATAGCGAAACTAGGTTTAAAGTAGATGGTACTTGGTGGTCCATATACCTCGTGGGAATGCCACGAACTGGTGTATTATAGAGTCAGCCTACGGACGTCTGCGAGGAATGTTCTGGATGCGGAACTTCTGGAACATCCACCCAAGAGACTTCCGGGAGCTGCTTATCTCCTAGAACTAAACGCATTGGCTGCCTGATTGCGGACTAACGCATTTATCCCCTTTTGGATCTCCCAAGAACACTGCGTATAAGTGCAAATGTAAACTGCGTAAAGGTAGTATACGTAATAGCCGACAGTGCTTCAACAGTCACATCCGATGACTGAAAGGTACAGGTTCTCAACACCTCTAATATACATTGCACATACAGCACAAAGCTTCCGCCTTGACGATCGACGCAGCGATCAGTTCTAAGCGGTGTGTAACCAGGTAAACCTTCCTTAACGTCTGTGAAAATCAGAGACAAACATGTTGCAGTGCAAGCAAGCATTCGGCAAGAGATTTGTTTACAAGTGACCCGACGCGTGCACCCTGTTCCTTAGGCCCTGCACGTTTCTTAGCACTATCACAAAATGTCGGCACGGTTATCCCTTAGTCGTGCGCCATCAAGGTGGGTTCTGCTTGGGCGGAAAATCATCTCCGGTTAACCACATTAAAAATACAGGAGACAGCGGCAATTCTCACCAGCCGACCCCTATTTTTGGGGTCTTGGGTCGTTTCATTCAGCTTCAACCTATCTACCCGCGAAAGGCTCGGCTGAACACTGACACCACTGCTTTTAATTGAGAATGCAAAGCGCAGCATTGATTTGCGTTCCTTCTGGGTAGTAAGAACGACGCGAAGTGATCAGATTCGCGGATTAGCCGTACCGATACGGATGTTCACCAATCTAAGCAGATTTTTGACAGTGACACCAAGGAAGCCGTGTGGAAGCAGCTTGGTGACGCGCAGGTTTTACCCCTTGATCTCATCAAAATTGCGTTCAGTAACGTTACGGTATATAACGTCGCTTTCAGACGACGAGACGCCACGAAGGGGAGGGTTTACTCCACATGCCTTAGTTTCGACACTTACGTCAGATTTTTACACCACAGGCGTTGGAACTGCCCCTGTCTCCACAAACGAGGTTAAGGCAACCTTGTTGTAGGTTTTCCGCGCTATTGCCGGCGGCTTACAATATCCTGTGTCTTTCAACCCTCCCGATGTTTAACAAGCGGTACTAGCACCTTTCTGCTTTTGGCTCACGAGAACAGGGTCCCTTGAACTTGTGTCGCAAAGAGTAATGCCCAACAAGTTATCAGAACCGGCTGCTTCAGTGGCAGCCGAGAAGGTCAGCACGTTCGACTGACAAGTAGTGCGCATCGGAAGCTTCTGCTGTGCATTTCCTTCAGATGACTTTACAACTGACGGTATCTGCATTCATGTCGATGCCGCGACAAATAAGTCTCTGGGTTTACCAGAGGGCTTATGGTATTTCTACTGGCCATTTTCTCCACTTTGACGGTCCCATGAGGAGAGAAAACAATGCTACCTAGAGTGTCCAGTAGGATGTGTGACTCCTTGACCGACTGTCAGATTAGTTCGACAGCACTGATGGTGTCAACCGCAGTGTCCCTAATCGCAACACTCATGGGTTTCAACATCTAATCCACTTTGGTAGTGAGCGATGCAAGAGAAGCGAGCGCGGTGATCGCCTTCTCAACATATACCAAGCTTGACGCCAGCGCTGATCGTCTGGCACCGGCGATAGCTGGGTGCTTCCTTCCCCGAGCGCAGCATTCATCACAGCAGCAAAGGAAGTCCACACTTAATAGCATCATGTAGTAGTCTGCTTGTAGGCCGGTACCGGCGGCAGCATAGGTCACACTGCACCCCGCCAGATAACTTTCTCAATAGCTCTTAACAAATAGGTAGCCTGCAAGCTGACTATTCG